CAGAAATGTCAGCAAGGAAATTAGAGAAGCTGTAATTTTAATGATATGGAGGAAGTCACTTGTTTAGAGCCTGATTCGTGATTCTCTATTGCCCATGACAGCTTATGCTGGGATTATATTTGCTTCTGCTCTCACCTTCCCACATTTCTGGGGATAATTTTTATTCCATAACTTGTTTTAACTCATCCACCCTGATTCCCAACTGTCCTTAGCTGGCTAGGAAATATGGAATTAACCCTTCTATAAATTGTTTCACTTTTTCAATGTTTTTGTCCCCACGTCCATAAATGGAGACTCACCTCTGCCAGACCAACGTGGCTCTTGGTATCTCAGTCACTGAACTTTCTGATTTATCTTGATGTGCAACTCTCCCTCCAACCACCCTGTGTGTTGGAAGCCATCTGGGAATTACCTGTATGTCTTTTCCACGTTTTCCCTATGAAAACAGCTTTCACTGGCTTTGCTGGTTGTCAGGTTCTTGTCTCCCAGACCAGGTTATAAGCTACAGGTTTGGTGCTCAGTGATTTGTAAGTAAGGACTGCTAGAGGGATTGGTTCCGACCCAGTGGGTGGAGTGATGTGTTGGTTATCCTGGGATTTAAACTGTAATTGGCTCTGATTGCATTGAGTTTTTAGCATCTCATGTGACTGTGATAAATGGTTGGGATCACTGATCCTCATCACCACACTCCCTTTTCTCAGCTGGGGGGATGCTCTCCAGGCTGCCCCACCAGCTCCACTCCCGTGAGCATCCCCAGCCCTGCACGGGGCTGCCAAAAGGGAAATGTCACTGCCTGTGCTTTGGGAGCTTCCTCAACAGCACTGCAGTGGGGAGGGCAATGTCCAGCTTCTCCTAACTGGTGCCAGGGCTGTCATGCCTCCTTTGTTGGAAAGTTTTCCCGGAAACTCCAGTGAATTCAGAGGAAAACAGAGCTTTGTCTGGCTGTAATCCCAGCTCCAGATGTTAAATGTTTGAAAGGACTGTAGTTGGACTAGGTGGTCGTTGTTTGTCTCTTGCAACTGAACTGTTCTATTCTATGGAATGGAGTGGGGTGGGATGGGATAGAATGGAGCATTGGATAAAGTGCTTCATAGTCATTGTGACAACACTTAGAGCCAGGAAACGCCCCCAGGTTTGAGATGTCCAGTCCAAGTTTTGGACCAGGGTGGGAAACTGGTATTTTTATCATTACACACCCCATACACTGGGGTTGGCCTAGTTCCCTCCCTGCAGCATGTGTGTGTGGGCTGCTAGAAAAGTTAAGGCTGGAAATTAATTGTTCCTGTGATCCCATCCATGACCAGAATCAACCCAATTACCATTGTCAACTGGAATTTGGAATCCAGAGCTGAGACCATAACGTAGAGATCCATAGCCTGATCTCCTATGCACCTTCTTTTACTTCTGTCCTCCAACCTCCACTGAAACAAAGTAAGTCTCTCCCCCTTCCAAAATACCCTGAAGGTGCCTGTGCACTGTTTTTGTCCAAAAAATGAAGGCTGGACTTCCAACTGCTGAAAGACTCAGGTTGTTGTCGATTCTCAAGGTTGAGCTGGTGATGAGATGTCTCTGTTGGGGTATCTATGGCTGGTGGCCTGGAGCTTCCAGTTCCTTGGTTTATGGGAATACATCTCCAATCAGATTTCCATTGGAAAAACTCCAGTTTGTGCATAATTTGGTAGGTAGCCCCCCAAAGCTGGTACAACAACCCCAAGGTTGTTTCCTGCCCACGGTAAATTTGTGGTAGAGGATCTCAATAGGTATTACTAAAAAAGCATCGAAACACAGGTCAGGTGAGGTGACTGAACTTTCTTGTTATCATCTAAAAGGGGAGTGTCTGTAAGTACTGAGTTTCTTCCACCCAAGAAATCACCTCTTCAAGCACAATTGAATGGGAAGTGGAGAAAGTCAAGGGAAGCAGTGACTTCTCTCTGGTAACCATGTGGTACCTGCTTCAGAAGAAGGTAAAACAACAGCAGTTCCAATGGCACCAAATTCACCCAGGATGAGGAATTCAGTGTGACAGAATGGAAAAGAAGGGAGAGGAGAACAGGGGGAGATGATACCCATCAGAGGAGAAAAGGGAACTGCTACACTGTCCCACCATGTCCTCAGTGCCCGACCCATTCCCTGGCCCTGAGCAGCCGGGGGGGTGTTGGCTCTGCCCCATCCCCTTCCCAGGCCTGCTGCACCTCCAGATGTGGTCTTGGACAAGCCCATCTGTCCTCCCCCCACCACCGTGGTGCCGTTACCCATAACACCACCTTTATGGCATCACTGATGGTTATGGAGAGCTTGGAGGTTCTTGGGTTGGGAGGGCAAAGGCCTGTTGTTTAGTGGGCACCTCCATGGAGCACTGGAGGCACCACCACACCACAGCCCTGTGCTCTCTCTTCCAAGACCATTTAGGACCCTTGGCTTTGCCGGGGTAACGTGTTGCTGGTCCTTGCCCCTGTTGCTGCTGCTTTTTCCCCCCTCTCTGTCGCTCTCACTCCCCCTTTCTCTCTCCTCCTCCTCCTCCTCCTCTCCCGGCTCCGTAGCAGTTTCCTCGGGAGTGTTCAGCTAGCTGACACATTTGCCACAGATGGATGGTGCACACGGAGACAGCTGTCACTCCCGATTTGTGGTCCACTGCGTGACAGCAGGACTGATGCCTTCTGAAAGGCCGTCTCGCGGAGCACATGCACTCTGACATTCTTCGAGATGAGCCCTACAGACACCTCTCAGTGGACCTCAGGAGGAGCTGGCAAGCGAACCCTCCCCGCTCCCCCTCCCCGGAGCAGCCTGCAGGCTGGAAGAAAGCAGCCACTCTGGTGTGCACACACACACAGGCACGGCCAACCTCCTTGGGTAGTTCTGTGCCACTACTGGTCTGCCAGGTCCCAGCCCGGCTGTTTGCTCCTGATGCTGGTATGAAGTGAGGCGGGTGGAGATTTGCAAGAGGGAAAGGTCACCAGCAAAGCTGCTCTTTTCCCCTTTTCCACCTTTTTAATTGCAGGAGGGAGGGATATGGGCTCCAGCTTCATTCTGCCAGAGCAGCTGCCTCCAGCCTCTTGAGTTCCTCTGTCACAGCAAAAGCTGATCAACTTTTGCAGCCACAGCCCCTTCAGGCCTCCTGTCTCCTCCATCACTGGTGGTGGCCTCCATCACTTATGCTGGTCACCATCACACAGCAATATGGAAATCTTGGCAGGGATTCCCCCTACCCTCCCACCCCAGCACTGCTCAGGGCAGTGGGGCAGGATGTCTTAACAGCTCCTAGGGAGGTTCCTCTCACCAGCTGGAGGTCACTTGCAGAGGTAAAGCTGACTTAGGCAAGGCTGGCTCCTTGGAGAACAAAGCTCTCCGTCCTTAGCCAGGCTCAGGCTCATAGTTTCAGGTCCCAACCACCCACACCTGTCCTAGGTACTGACATGTAGAATCTGAGTATTCAGCTCTGAGACCTTCAACAAAACCTTTTGGTGGGACTTTCAGGTGGACAGAAAAAGCAAAACAGAGGAAACAGTATTTAGCTCTGGATAGAAGAACAAAATCCTCCAGGTGCCAACACCATGAGAATGGGAACTGGTCCTTCCTTTGGTCTTCAGGGGAAAAAATTTCCTTTCAGAAAACATACATGCACAGCTCTTATTTCTCCATCTGACTTGGGGCAGGTTGTTGTCAACAGAATAGGTCTTCCCAAAAGGGAAAAGTTTGAACTAGATCTAGAGAATATCATCTGGGTCCCTCTGGAACTGGCCTGAGATTTCCCCAACTTCTTCATGTCTGAGTCCTGCCCCATGGGACACAAGAACCTGGTGGCTGCACAAGGTCATGAAGAAAGTCCTTCTAGAAAGGTCTCTGTGTGGTGCTCAACAATGGAAAGCCAAGGGAGAGGACACAACCAGAACAAACTTACATGAGACTCCTCTTGGATACTCTCCAAGCTTTCAACCAGTCATAGCTGAGGGACTTGAGGAACCAGGTGGGATTTCTCTGTATGGAGTAACTCCTGGTGCAGTTCCCACCCCCGCAGTGCCTGGGTGAGGTCTGTTCACCCATCCCCTTCCAAAGTCTTTATGAGCCATTTAAATACACAGGAAGATTTACAGAATGCAAGGACATCAGTTCTCCTGGTTGCTTTGACCCCTTGACTCCTGTTCCCAACCCCCGAGAGCAGGCTGAGTCTGTTGAGCAGGACCCTGCTCAGCAGGACATGGAGAAGGTGTGACTTGTGCCGGGACTCTGCTTTCCTGGGTCCTTCAGCAGCAAGAAGAGCATCTTCCACCAGAGTCTGAGCTGCAAGTGTGTTATCTTTGAGCTTTCTGGCTGAATCCAGCTCTGTTATCCTGGCACAGCCACCTCCAGCCTGGTGGGAGGTCATGCCAAGGCACCATCAGCATGAGAGGAAGGCATTCAGGTGGGATGGGGGTCCTGGCAGGGGAGATGGGGCACTTCCCCAGCGCCAAAGCTGGGAAGGCACCTCCCTGTGTGGCAAAATACTGAGATAAGTATGGATCCAGCAGGAAAGTCCACCATCAGAACTGCAAGTTCAAGATTGCTGAAAGTCACTGAAAACCATAAGAAGAGGCTGAGATGGACCAAAGTGCAGTTGAAACTAAAAAGGAGCTGTGCCATTTCCTCTCGATGAGAGCACCCCAGGAAGGAAAAGAAAGACCTGCTCTGTCACTGGCACCTGTACTTTTCCATCAGGCCATCTCTGAGCAGGGCTGTCTGACCCCAGAAGGTGGGACTGCCCAGGCCAGAAGGTCCCAGCAGTGGCTGTGAGAAAGGGTCCCGTGAGGGCACTGTGCTCCTCAGCTGGAGACAAGGAACTGTGGGCTCTTGCGAAGTCTCAGGAGGTTCTGGTTGGACACACAGCAGCTTGTCCCTGGAGATGTCCAGGGTCACAGCCTTTGCTCTGATACAGCTATTTGAACTGAGCTTGGGAAGACCAGGCATTCTGGCATTGCCATGGGGCCCTCTACAGCGGCATCACAAGGCTCCAGAACACCCAGGGACATCAGAAGCCACATTGTGAGAATGTGGCACTCTGGGGAAATCCTGGTCTGTCTGGACAAAACATGGTCAGAGCAGGTACTGGCCTTTCCAGGACTTTCCTTCTGAGATCCTCAGAGTGATGAGGACTGGTGAGGCTGAGCTTTAGCAGGATGGATGTGTGAGCTCCAGGGTAGGAGATCTCAATTCAGCCCAGGTCTCGTGAACCAAAGGCAGGAGACACAATCCCAAAGCCCTGGGGGCAGCTTTGGGTGCCGCAATTAAAGGAGATCTAAAGCTTATTAGAGAGTGCCCAAAGGAGGGACATGAGGATGGTGAAGGGTCTAGAGGGGAATAGAGCTGTGTGAGGAGCAGCTGAGGTCACTTGGCTTCTTCAGCCTAGAAAAGAGGAGACTGAGGTCAGACCTCATTGGGTCTGCAGGTTCCTCAGAGGAGCAGTGGAGGGGCAGCTCCCATCTCTGCTCTGTGTGACCAGGGACAGGACACAAGGGAATGGCTGGAGCTGTGTCAGGGCAGGGTCAGGTTGGATCTCAGGAAAAGGTTCTTCCCCCAGAGGCTGGTTGGGCACTGCCCAGGCTCCCCAGGGCAGTGGTCACAACCCCAAGGCTGCCAGAGCTCCAGGAGGGTTTGGATGATACTCTCAGGGACAGAGGGGGATTGTTGGGGTGTCTGTGCAAGGCCAGGAGTTGGACTGGATGGTCCTTGTGGGTCCCTCCAGCTCAGGATATTCCATGATTCTATGACTGTGGTTCTAGATGCCTCTGCCCAGAGAGACCCTTCAGTGCAGACACGTCACCAACCTGACCCTTGGCCCTTCAGCTCCCAAGGTGTTACAAGGAAATCTTCGCTCACAACCCCATGGGGCTCAGCTCCAGATGCCATCGATTTAGGTGGTCCTGCCAGATGCCATCTCAAAGTCAAATTCCCCCTCTTTGTGTCAGCTGGAGATGGGGGATCCCTCACCCATGTTCAGCTGTGAATGTACTCAAGGTTCCAGAATTGTTTCTATTAAGTGGTGTAGCACAAGGCTATTTTTTTCCCAAATATTTTTGAGGGAGGTAGAAATGCAGGTCAGAAGAAGATGCAGGTTTGCAGGCAGGGTCTGGGACCTTGAGAGCACATTGTCAGTCCAGCCAAGGTTGGGATGTTTGGGAAGGGAGCAAACAAAATTTTTTATGAAAAAATTCTTAGATTTTGAACTAAAGCAAAATACAAATAAAAACAGTTGAAAAAGAGCAACACAATATTCATAACAAAAGCAGGAAACCATCATTATGGACAGAAAAATGGTCCATCTGTGCTGCATGTGACCAAATCCACTAGAAGACATCAGGCTCCAAGGGAGACTCTGGTCTGGGAGGGATGTCATTACCTCGTGCCCCCTTTCTGAGGGCAGGCTTGCTTAGCAGGGAGGCCAAGACTTTCCCAGAGCAGCTCCAGCCAGGAATGCTCCATCCAAACCAGAAGAATGACTTGCCCTTCTTGGCTCCCAGCCGAGAGCTCAGGAGGTGAGTGGAGAAGCAGGACCAGTACTTTGCCATGGGGACCTGGTGGGATGGTGGCAGTGGCACCAAGGGCTGACGAGCCACCAGGTAAAATCTGGTGGAGAAGGTCGTGAAACAGGGATTTCTGCAGCCCCTGCTCTGCACAACTGGCTGTGCACCCTGGCTTGTGGGGAGGATGAGATGGGGAAAAGGGAGGAAACTCCAGCTTCTGTTGGAGAATGTCCTCAAAACATCAGGACATATGGCAGGACAGTAGTTCCAGCAGCCTCCTGCCTGTCCTTGCTGTCCCCACTGTGGTGGTGGCCGAGACACTCACACATTCCTGGCCCTGTGCTGGCAGCTCCCCACCATCCCCTCTCCCTTGGATGGGTGAAGGGGGCAGCCCCAAGCAGAATGTGGAGCTTTTCCTGGCTAGCACCCCGCTCCAGGACGTGCCATCTCAGCAGCTTTGCACATGTGTGTGCCCCAGGAGTGCCCCATCCCTGCCCTGCCTGGCAGCACCGGGGGCATTACTGGGGAGGGGTAAATAATTTGTGCTTGAGAGCTGCAGATGGACAGAGGCATTTGGCAGTGAAGCCTCAGCCCCTCACCTGCTGGAGGTGAAGCAGGAGCGGGATCAAGGTGAAAATGCCTTCACGTCTCACCAGCCTTGAAGAGCAGATGAAAGGGGGCACTGGGAGCTGGGGATAACAAAAGGAGAACAGGGAAAGTTCAAGTCAGGCAGGGATTTCTGACTGGTGGGTTTTCCACTGAGAAATTCTCTCTGCCTCTTTCATGGTGATGAAGATCCTTTTAATTTTTTTTTCTTCCCCCCTTCTCCTCTCCTTCTCCTTTTCCTCTTTTGCCAGGCTGATAGCTGGGAGCTGCGGAGCATGTGATGCATCTTCCATATAGGGGCAGGAGCAAACCAAGACCAACTGATGGACGCCCTAGGGCCAGACTTGCAGACAATATATAACCTACTGCATGATCTAAAACGCTTCCCACTTCCACAGAGCGAACATCAGGCAGAGCGGAGCCGCAGCGAGGGAAGAGGAGTCCTGCGTGCAGGTAAGTCCTCCTCGTCTCCTGCTCCAGGAGGGTGTCCCACGTAGGGGGAAGGTGCGAGGGACCTGCTCTGTGCCCAGCTGCTGTGCTGGCAGGAGGGCTGGGGCAGTTGCTGCTGTTATTAGTGGGGATTTTTTAAAGCCTTTTCGGTGCCAGCGGAGTTCAGGACAGTGGTGGGGAGAGTGGGAGATAGAACCTGGCAGACCCCAGACTCAGCCCCTGTCCCTGCAAACACCGATGCCTTGAGTGGGAGAGCATCCTGGGCCAGCCGGCGTTCCTTTACCCTCGTTAACTGCTGTCGAGGTTTGCCTGGGCTGCGGGGAGATCACGGCTCCTGCCCGGCTGCTCTCCGGCGTCTCCCGCCCATCACCGTCCCATCCCGCCCGGCCGCGCCGGGGGCCCCTTTGCCTTTGATAAAGCAGCAAAAAGAATTACCAAACAACTTTGAAAAGCACTCTTGCACATCCCTCTCGCTGCCTCCAGCGCTTTCCTGGCTGCCTTCACCTTCCCGCGCTGGAATTCCCTTTGCAAGGAAAACTTCCCAGCTGGGACTGAAGGGGGGATGCGGGCTGGAGGGAACGGGGTGGCAAACGCAAAGTGTGAGGGGTCTGAGTGTGTGTGGGGTATGGGGGGTCTGTACAGCCCAAATGCTGCGGTGTCCCTGTACCACATATCCGGCCCCGCGGGGGGACCAGGCTTTGTGCTGGAGACACTTTGTGTCCTGCTGAATGGAAAACCATCCTAGCAACCGCTCCGCGCTCCGCGGGGCCTCGCCGAGTTTATCGCGGGGTGGGGTTTGTTTGCTTTGGGGTACCGACTGTGCCCGAGGGAAATGTGGGGATTGAAGAATCCTGGCCGTGTTTGGGGCTGGGGAATCTCCATGGACTCCCAGATTCTTGGGCAAGACCCGACCGTCTCAGGCGAAAGGGCCGCTGTGATTGTAATTGGGATAAAGAGGGACAAAATCATTAAAATGAATGTTTGGGGGCATTTTGGCTTATACACCCCCAGTGAAAGCGCAGATGAAAAAACCTCTCTGTGTGAGGCCAGGCTGAGGCTGTTGCCTTGCTCTGTGCCCTGGTTTCCCCCCCCGTGCCGTTCCCCTTCCCCCGTGCAGGGGCAGCGTTTGCCGCGGTGCCCCCGCACACGTACGAGGGGTCAGCCCAGGGGAGCGGCAGAGCCCGGCACTGATGGGAATCCAGGCTGTGTTTGATGAGGGCACTCAGAGAACCTGCAACATGAAGGCAGAGGCACCTCTGCGAGCAGAGCCAGCTCTGCAGGGTGACACGGGTGGGAGTGGGACAGCTGTGTCCCCTCCACACTGAACCAGGGTGGGGGTCACCCCGAAAGCACCCTGCACCCCGTCTGTGGGCACCGAGGCTCCAGGCACAGCTGGAGCTGCCCATCCTCAAGGCAATCGTGTGTGGACCCAGGGACTGATGCCCCCATGACACACAGGGCCAGGGACGTGCTGGGGGGTTCCCAGGGAGTCGAGGGTCTGTGCTGGATGTCCTGCCATGCAGTCGGTGATTTGGGCCAAACTCTCTCTCTGCTGCCATAAGTTTTTCCTGGGAAAGAAGGGTAAATCTGATGTCACCATCGGGATCAGGCAGAGCAGGAAGAGCTGTCAGGGGCTTAGGAAGTGCCCTGCCCTTGGCTTGGACCACAGGAAGTAGGGGAGGGGGACACCTCATCCCCTCAGTTCCAGGAAGGGGACAACTGATGGACCTTTGAAAACTCTTCCTGGTGGCAAATGCTCTCAGATTTGTGCTGCTGAAATGAGGACAGTGCAACCCCTCTCCAGCTTTTTTGAGCCCCCTTTCTACTGCTCAGCCCCCAGAATCCCATTTGTGAGCAGGGCACTGAGCCTCTCCCACCGTGCACTTGAACCAAGCAAATCTCAGCCAAGTCAGGCAAAGGAGTGGCCAAAAGGGTACCTCTGGGTGCCCCCATCCCAGTGCCACTGGTAAGGCAGGAGGTCTCCAATGCTGTACAGTAGTGCCCAGCCAGAGGGAGAACCAAACATGTCAGAGATTTTTTCTCCCTTATGGGATCAGATCATCCCTGTCTTCCTCTGCTTTTCTTCTCAGTGTTTTCTTCTCTCCCATCCTTCCCAAATTTCGAATCTGGGACAAATTTCAGGGCAAGCTGAATTTCAGCCAAGCTGAAGCCTAAAATCAGCGCTTCCTGTTCTCCCAGACCGCAGACTGATTTCGGTCAGCAGTGCTGGTTTTGGTCGGGGGACATCAAGAGTATGAAGCATCCACTTTAGTGCCATCCCTTGATGTTCCCACCTCAATGAGCACCATCTGCAGAGAGTTTTACCCCTTCAGTGCCTTATTCTGCTCCAGGGTTTCTTAGTGACACCTACAGCCCCCACACAGAGTGAGGACACTGCCTGTAAGGGACCACCAGCCCTGCTGGGAACGGACCAAGCACAGATCCAGAGCTGAGAGCAGGACCCGTGTCCCTGCTCTCCTGCCAGCACCAGCTCTTTGGACCTGGAAATGCCTCAACCAAAAATGCTCTTTTTGGTCTGGGAGGTGGATTGGGTTGCTCACTTTAGTGTTTGGTTGCCCACCTTGGTCCTGGCCGCCCATCCTTGTACTTGGGTTGTGTCCATGTTTGCATCAGGCTTCGGATCGTTGTTGTTTGCAATTGTCATTATTTCTTATCAGAGGTGTGGGGCTGGTGGGTGGGTTGATGGGCAGAGCGGGCAGAGCTGTTGGTGTTCCATAGATTCTCCTTATGGTCCTGCAGAGCTTGGGAGGAGCATCCTTCGGATCTGGGGAGAAAAGGGACCGACCCCATTTCCGATGTGCCGTAAGGAGCAAGCACAAGCCCGGATGGAGCGATCCGCGGACGGGGCAGGGATTGCGGAGGCATCCCATAGCTCTGCGGCACAGGCTCCTCTCTGGCGTCCAGGGTGACTTCCTGGGCACAACCTCAGCCACCCCATCCCAAATCCGGGGGAGGCACCGAGCCCGGCACCGGGAGCGCCGGGCAGGGCGGGCAGAGGCAGCGGGGCTGGCACAGCTGTGTGGCTTTCAGAGATACTTGATCGATAGCTCCTTCCTCCCGCTCCCCCCGCTCCCCAGTCCCCACATGCATTTTTCATGCGAACCCCTCCTGGGCAAAGGCTGTCTGCGCAGGAAAAGAAACTGAAAAAACCGCAAAACACAACAAACCGCAACCAAAACCTACTTTTGTTTCTCTGGTCCCCGGAGATTTTTGTAGTTTAAGGGCCAATCTATAGATTCAGGCTGGGAATATCTTTGCTCCACGAACAAAGAGGGATGAAAAAGCTCCCCGGGGCTTTTCTTAACCCTCTTCATTTGGCCCAGAGTAGGAAAAGGCTCTGTACAGCGAGGGGTGTAATGGTGCAACACCGTCTGGGCAAACTGGGGAGGCTGGAAAGGGGAGCTGGGCTCCTCTGCAGCTCTTCCTGGGCTCACAGCCTGCCCAGGATATGCTGGGATGATGTGGGCAGCAATGGGGATCCTTCCCCTGGGTTCAAAGGGCCTCCAGGGCTCCTCATATGGCTACAAGTCAACTCATGCATGTGGAGCTGGGTCCAGGGTGATCCCAGGCCACAGCGGCTGGTAAGGCTGGTGGATCCCTGGGCAGGTCCTGCCTGCCCCCCACGGAGAGCTCAGATGAAGGTTTGGGTATTTCCCAGAATGAGCAAAAAATCTGCAGGGTTTGGGCAAAGGGCAGATTTCAGAAAATCTGCAGGGTTTGGGCGAAGGGCAGCTTTCAGGGTGAATTCTTTTTTTCTCTCTCCTGTTGTCTGTAAGGGTTGCTCCCTTTTTGCTCCTTATTTTTGGGTGGCACCAGTAAGACTGAGCAGCATCCCACAGCCCCTGTTGTGCCAGTGCTCCTGTGACTCTCCCTCCCTTCACTGGTTCCAGCCCTGCCTGTGCAGGGATGCCGAGAGCACCGGGCAGGTGCCTGCGGGGATGTGTGTGCTGAGGGACCGATCCCAGGTGAGGGCTCAGCGCTTCCCGGGATCCCTCCAGACCCACGCTTCCCACTGCATCCCTGGCACGCCACTCCAGGCACTGCTTCAGCCCCGTTACCTTGGGAGCACGTCTGTGCCCGTCACAACCGGGGCCAGACCCATCTCCTGCGGGTTTTGCAGCAAGATTTCTGCTGCGTCCACAAATTCCCCCTATTTCCCTGGGAAGCTGATGGCTCCCACGGCCCCGCAGCAGCTTCTCTGGTCCGTAACGAGCCCGGGCGGCGTCGGCAGAGTGCGGGCAGGCACAGAGCATCCCCCCGCAGCCCTCCCACCCCCCCGGGCCGAGGCACCGGGGCCGCACCGAGACGGCGTGTCCGGGGTCCAGGGACGGGAGCGCTCCCCCGCTCCGCCGGCGAAAGGGCACGGGCCAGAAATAGAAGGGGGAGGAGGACGCCGTGACCTTTCCAGCAGCCGGTGACGAATAAAACTTTCCGGCTACCTGTAGGAAGGCGCAGGGCAGGCTCCGTTATCGGCTCATCAAAGGACGACGTCCCCTGCGAGCAGGACAGGCAGAGCCGCGGCGCCCGCGGGGGTTCCTGGAATAAACCTGCCGGTGCCTGGATCCGGCGGGTGTGCGTCTCCACACACGCGGGAGGCTCCAGCCGCGGCCGGGAGCTCTCAGGGTGCTCCCGGAGCTGAGCAGGGAGGGAGGGGAGGATGGCAGTTGCCACCAGCACGGGCAGGAGGGCAGAGAGAGCCACCTCTCTGCTAACAGGCTCCCGCGGGCGATTTGGGCTGCTCCCCTTGGGACAGGGCAGGACGGGATGGGACCCACCGTGCACAGTCTTGGTTCGGATCCAAGACACCCCTAAAAACCCACCTCGGCCGAGGTCCCCCTGTGCCCCCATGCACCCAGGGACACTCAGAGACAGCAGGGAGTGGGATGCTGCAGCCATCCGGGGGTACCAGGGTGCAGACTGTCCCTATCGGGCTCAGAAAAACGCCCCCAAGCCCCATGGCAGCAGACCCAAGGAGAAATCTGCGTGGAGGCTGCCCCCATCCGCTCCTCTTCCTCCCTCCGGGATGCAGTGGCATCCACTCGGATGGAGCGAGGCAGCCGTGCTCCCCCCTCCCCAGTTGTCCCCCTGCTCGCTGACCCGGGCGGGGGGCGCTGGCAGCCGGCTCCCCCGGCCCCCCCCCTCGCAGATGGCGTGGGCAGCCAGCACAGGTGGCCCTGTGCCACGGCAGATTGGGCCCGGCTGCCTGCGGAGTGCCCGGGCAGCGCTGCGGCCCTGCCGCGGCTCGGGGACAGCAGCAGGGCCACGGCCCCCCCGCGGCGCAGGGGGTGCACAGCCAAGGGGGTCCCCGCACTGCCGGGCCCGGTGCTGGATCCCGCTCTTCAGCACGGGCACCAGAGCCCCGTAAAATAATAAACCAAGGACGGGTGACAGGAAGCTGGTGGCTCAACACGAGGGGGGACACGGGGTCCCCTCACTTGGCCCCAAAGAGATGAGCTGAGCCAGAGCATCAGACGGTTTTGGGAGGGTCCCGTTTTAAGGAATTGCACTAAACAATGCCATGCAGGGTTAGTACGATGCAGATGTCTGGGCTTGTCCAGCATCTTGAGAGGGGATTCTCAGGATGCAGCTCCCCCCGGTCCTTCCAGCCAGAGCCAACACCCAGGAGGGTGCCAGGCACCCCAGCTGGGTGGTGAGAGGCTCGCTTCTAGGAGAAAAGGACCTGCAAGGGGACAAGGGGGGGGCTCTCATCACCGTGATGGTGCTCAGCCCCACACAGGGATTCCAGAGCACAAGCTCCAGGGTGGACACTGCACCAGGAAGATGGCATCAGCTCCAGGATGGGCACGGAGTGGGGATGATGGTGGGACGGTCCCAGTTCGAGGGGACCCGTCCTTGACACAAAGAGGGATCTTGAGCTGGAGATGTGGCACAGAAGCTGTCAGGGCAAGGGTGGTGGCCGGAGCAGGTAAATCATTAATGCCGGAGAAAACCAGGCTGGCATCCTGCCCATCACTCATCGACAGGAAAAGTTGATGTTAGAAGGAGAATTTTCACTTCTAGTCTTCCCCTCCCTCCTCTGCCTGCCCCCAGGGACAGAGGGCTGGAGCAGGGAGCCGGCCCGGAGCCACGCACGCACCCAGCCCCAAACCAGCCTCTTGCCGAGCACGTTCGCTTCCAGCCCAGCTGGTTTTGCTCCCAGCCTGCTCCGTCTGTGCACATTAAAGCTTTTTCTAGGTCTGAACTGCTTTTGGCAAGCCAGGCTCCTGTTGGTCCTCACCACCCTCCCCATGGCTGCTCCCCCCGATCCTTTCCCCGTCTGGCTCCCGCTCCCCCTCCCCGGTCGAAGCCCTGCCAGGGACATGGCAAATCAGCGCGAAGCCTGCGGGGCAAATCGGTACAAATGAGACCAAGCAAGAGGGTGGGGAGGGACGGCGAGGGGGGGGGGGATGACTCTTGGGTTGGCGCTTCTGTTGCCGAGTTTGATGTTTCCTGCAAACAACCCTGTAAATGCTCAGGAGCGGCTCCGGACATCACCTGGCCCCTGCCTCGGCGGGGTTTGGGGACGCTGGGTCCCGGGAGGGGGGACAGCCCTCCCCCCCGCTCCCACGGCCTCCCCGCAGCCTCCCGGCCCTGAGCAGGGACCCAGCCGGGACGGAAAAGGGACCGAGCTGTAAGTCCTGACATTTCAATCTGTTTTGGGGAGGGATAGGGTGGGCGGAGGGCGGACGGTGCTGGAGGCAGCACAGGGGTCCCACTGCGGGTCTGGGCAGGAAACAAAACCCACCAAGGACCTGGAGGGGAAAACATTCCCCCTGTTACAAGCTGCCTTCTCCTGTCAGTTTTGCACTCTCCCAGTTAAATTCCCAGGCATCTGGTAGTGCCAGGGAAGCCCAGTGCCACACCGAGCTCGGCCAGGAGCGGGAGCTGGTCCCCGGACAGGGGATGTGCAAACCCGCTGGGTGCAGGGAGGCGGCTGTTCCCAAGGGATGCTCTTTGATCCCGCTCTCCTGTTTCCTTGCAAGCCGTGTAACTCCTGCTTATTAAAGGCACTCGGCATCGGGGAGGTCATATGGGGCCTTTCTGCTTGGGTTGCTCTCCTAATGACATGTCCGACTGCCTTTGCGAGTCCCTGACAATAGAAAGTTTGTGGAGGATTTTGGATGCTTTCCCCATGGCCGTGTGATGGGTGGCAGAGGTCTGACTGTTCTTCCCACTGAAAAATGAAATGATACCTCGGGAAAAAGGAACCAGCCTGAGAGGACACGGAGGGCAGGTTAATTTAAACATATTCACCTCTTCTTGTTTGTATAATAATCAAGATCAATGGTTTTCTGCAGGTTTGGAGATATGATGAGTGTTTGTAATCGTAAAAAAGATATACAAACCAGATGAAGGTTGAAATTTAACAGTAGGACAATATTATCCATATTATCCACAATTTTTTCTTCCTCTAAACCCTTCTTAATGGAAGTGAAAACTAAACTGAGCCATTGAATTTTCAGAGGAGGTGAGTTATTGAAATGCCCTATGGTGTTAACTAGGAATATACTTCCCCGTGCCAAAGGATGCCTGTTTGTAGGAATTTTGGTAATTAAATCAAAAGGTCACATAACAAGGAACAGTTCACAGCAGTCAGAGGCTTCTTACAAAAAGGCAAGGAAATCAGGTCAGTAAGGCCCAGCTGTGTATCCAGGTGGTGGCAAACCCTGGGACTGGGATGGGGACAGGTTTTGGGCACCCTCTGGGTGCTGCCTGCATGGTTTCATGGAGCTGCCCTGCTCTCACCCCTCTTCCAAGGGGAGGATTTGGGTTCCCCTCTGTGAAAATTCGCGATGGGAGGTTGTGAATGTGTCACCCCACGTTGGTCTTCTCACCCTTTCCTGGAACCTCCAAGGAATTTCAGAGTCCTGCCCATCCTAGAGGCAGTGGGAGGGGGCCCTCCGTTTGAAGGGGGGATGCAGAAATCCCCCCTTCCTGCACAGGCATCTCGGGGACTGTCACAGCATCTCCTCCCGGCTCCTCCGGCGCTGCCGACACCCGGGAATTGCAGGGACGCGGCCGTTCCACACGGTCCTGCGGCACAGCACAGGTTAACGAGCTGCATTCCCGCTTCATGCTCCAGCTAATAACATCCCTGCCTCGTCCCAGTGGCTTTGCCTCGGGCCGTTGTTACTCCTCCTGGTCATCCCTTGGCCAGTGCAGACCTTGCTGGGCGATTTGGTGGCCAAGTGCTACCTGCCCGCTCGGTGTCTCCGCCTCTGGCGTCAGCGACATCCCTCGGCTCCCGTTCCGTGCTGCAGCCCAGGCACTGCCCTTCCTGGGGGAGCGAAGGAGCTGGAAGCACAGGGAGGAGGCCACCGCGCTAAAAACCCAACCAAACACCATTCCTGAGGGGCAGGCAGAGAGGTGCCCGCTGCCCACAGCATCACAAACGCTCCTGCCCAAGAATAAATATGCATTTGGAGACTAAATATGTGTTTTGGAGAGAAATCTGCCTGCAAAGCGGCTGCAAAGAGACGCGATGTGCTGGCTGGTGTGCTCAGGTCCCCACAGAGCAGCCTCCTCCCAGGGCTGTGTCCCTCCTGATTCCCTCCTCTCTGCTGGGATTGTGGCATCCCCCAGGAACAATCCGAGTTTCTCTCCTGAAGGGTTTGTGGGTGTCCCTGCCTGCTGGCCCCAAGCCAGAGTATCCCATCCCTGTGAGAGGGCTTCTGCCTGGCTCTGCTCCTCCACCTTCCTCAGAGTCCTTCCCAACCAGCTCTTCTGCTCTGCAGTTTCCCTGATGTTCCCAAGCTCTCCCAGCCAGCGTTGAACCATTTCCCCTTTGGTTTTTTATTTAGTGTGTTGAGTTGCTTGTGGTCACCTAAGGATGGGGAGGGAGAAGCAGGGAACATTCCTAACTGGAACCATTTTGAAATGGTTTTTACAATGGCCTGGATTTCATGGACGTGTTCACCAAATTTGTGCCAAATTGGCACATCAAGCCCCTCTGTTTTTTTTAGTAGCTTTTACTTTAAATATAGTTAGTCCTTCGCAGGTGGCAGTTCTTTGGTGGCTGGTTAGACCTTGTTGTGATTTAAGTGTCTCCCTTGTGGCTCCATCCTAAAATTGTTGGCTGGATTCAGAGCTGGGAGCTGGCAGGCAGGACAGGGATAAGCTCATGTCCTCCTGGGTGGGGGCACAGCATTGCCACAGCCCCCCTTTTTCTCTGGGGGTGGTTGAAATCACAGCTCCATCTTAGCCATGTTTTGGCTAAGAAGATACCTCTCCTCTAACAGGAGAGGGAGGGGGGAATCTATGGGAATTGCCTTGAAAGCCAGGATCCTGACCAAGAAAAAGAAGGGATGTGCTGTGTGTGCACCAAGGTCTGTTCCCTGTGACCTGCGATCCCCTTTCCTGCCCTCCCCTGCCCACCTGGGCTGGCAGGAGGGTCCAAAAGGACACAGGGAGGAAATGAGTGTGTCTGCAAATGGGCCCATGTCCCAAGGATGCACCAAGGAAGGGTCTTTGGCTGAATGGGGCAATGCCAAATGAGGGCTGGGTGGCTGAAACCAGTGATGCTCTGCTTGGGAAGCCCTTGGAGACACTGTCAAGCTCAGAAAGTCCCAAGAGGGCCAGCTGTGGGAAAAACAAGCAATCCCTGGGCACTGCTGGCTCCAGCCCAGGCTCTGCTGAGATGTGCAGAGGTCCCTGCAGGCACACAGCAGCTCCTGGCTTGAGGTGTACCATGGCACATGCGGCTCAGACACATTAGGGAGCAGCCAGAGTGGGCCAGACATATCTCTGGGGCAGCTGTGAGTCCTCCTCGAAGTCCTTTCCATCTTCAGCAATGGTGAGAAGGTGTCAGGGTGAATTTACTGGTGTCAGAGTAGCCTGACTGCTGTACAGAGAAGACTCACTGCCTGGGCAGGGGGGGACAGAGGGATGCTGTGTAAGTGACCTCAGCAGGGCCCTGGACAAGGCCTCCTGCAGCATCCTCATGGCCAAACTGGAAATGCAAAGACAAGGTGGGTCAAAATCTGGCTGAACTGCCAAGGCTCCATGGGCTGTGCTGAGCCAGGGAAGGTGAAGCTCCCAACTGGAGAAAGGGGCTGACAGGGACCTGCCAGAGCTCAGTGAAGGAAATGGCAAAGTCCTGCAGCTGGGATGGGTAACCCCCTGCAGCAGGGATGTCCTGGGCCAACAGGCTAAAATGCAGCTTTGCAGGAGAGGAGCCACATCCATGACATGAGCAGAGACAGAACATGGCAAAGAACTGGACAGAAGGGAAAGGCCCTGAAGATAGCAGGAAGCATTGAACGTGGACATGGAGACAGGGAAGGGTGAGGGAAATGCTTGTGATGTCGTGTGCAGCTCCTCTCCTGTAGCAAGGGATAACTGAGGACACAGCCATGGACACACACAGGAGCAGGAGAGGGCTGGGCTGCAAGGCAGGAGGTGGGCAGGCTGGGAGGGAAGACTCTCTGCTCCTGTCCCCAGAGGAAACCACGTGGATTTGAACTGAAAGAAGGTGCATTTTCTGATTGCAAAAGAGAGACTGATTTGGTGGTGAAGGACACTTGGGTAGCAAGTACAAGCACGACAGGTACATCATGGGAGAGAGCTCAGGATGTGAGGAAGGTTGTATCAAGATGGGAACTTTTGGTGACTTTTGATGTGTCTTAGATGTGAAAAGATCTGGGCTCTGCTAGGCCAGTGAAAGCAAAGCGGAGATCTCCTCCCTTTCTTATCATTCTCATCCCAAGAGGGTTTGAGTGTGAACTGTTCAAGAACAAATGGAAACAAAAAGGAGGAGAGGGTTTCTAAGTACTGGTGCTGCAGAGGTTTGGGAAGATCATGGAGCTGATGGGGCAGGGGGTGACAAAAAGCACCTTGTTGTGTGACAGAGCTCATTGTTTTGCAGAGGAGGTGGCAGAGGAGGTGACCATACCCAGCCTGGGGATCTGTGCTCCCGATGGGGCAGAGAGATGATCTCATGTCTGTGTCCACACTGAGGACACTCACAGATGTGCCACCATACCCAAAGTCTTCTAGGGGGAAAGCTGAGAGGGAATCTCCCAGGACAGGTAGTCACAGGCAGTGGGATCCATCCTGGGCTGTCACACCAGGAAGAGGAGAAACCACTAAGTGGGGAAAAGAACTTCAGAGGTCATAGAAACTGGAAGAATTTATGGGAACTTTTTCTGGAGACAGGAAAGGCAATGCTTTGGACCTTCAGTAGCCTTGCACATCACAGGGATGACCCAGACTTTAGCTCAAAGGATAGTTGGACCATACATTCCTATTCCACCTTCACAGACCTCTTAAGCCCCCCCCAGTTCTCTCCAGTTGTCCATCCTTTCCCCTGGTAACCATGCCAGCCTGGACACCACCTCCTCTTCATACCTCTGGGTGTCAGCCACACTGTTGACCCTCCTGAGTTTCGCACAACCTCCTTCTCCTCTCTCCAGCTGCCCATTTTCATTTGGAGACTGATGTTGTCTTCACAGATTTGGAGGTCAGTTTGCCATCGAGTCACTGACACCACGGCTGGGAGCCTGTGGTCTCCTGGGGCTCCATTACCAGGTAGAGTGGAGGTGGAGGAAGATATAGGAAGCTCCCATCGTGGGGTCTGGGCACAAGCTTGTGGGGGTGGTTGATATAATGTGGAGAGACAGTCTCACATCCTGG